GCTTCCTACCGATAAGATAGAATGGGTGAGGATGGGTACAACCGTGGCAACAAATGCATTGTTGGAGAGGAAGGGGGAGAGAATTGCACTGTGTGTCACTCGAGGCTTCAGGGATTTGCTCCAGATTGGTAACCAGGCTCGTCCACATATATTTGACCTCACTGTATCAAAACCATCAAATCTGTATGAGGAGGTTGTAGAGGTTGATGAGAGAGTTGAGCTGGTTCTTGATAAGGAGGGAGTAGATGTGAACTCTTCTCCATCACTTGTTCAAGGTATTTCGGGCGAGCTTGTCAGGGTTGTAAAGCCACTTGATGAGGAAGCTCTGAAACCGTTACTGAATGCTTTGCTGCAAAAGGGTATTAGTTGCTTAGCTGTGGTCTTGCTTCACTCTTATACTTACCCAGATCATGAGATACTTCTGGAAAAGTTAGCGCTTAGTTTGGGCTTCCGGCATGTATCTATATCATCTGCTTTAACTCCTATGGTTCGAGCTGTTCCTCGAGGTTTTACAGCAAGTGTAGATGCATATTTGACTCCCGTTATTAAAGAATACTTGTCAGGTTTTATGTCCAAATTTGATGAAGGACAAGGGAAGTTGAATGTTTTATTCATGCAGTCGGATGGAGGGCTTGCACCAGAAAATAGATTTTCTGGCCACAAAGCAATTTTGTCAGGTCCTGCTGGTGGTGTAGTTGGTTACTCTCAGACACTCTTCGGGATTGAAACAGACAAGGCCCTAATCGGTTTTGACATGGGTGGTACCTCCACTGATGTTAGCCGATATGCTGGTAGCTATGAACAAGTTATAGAAACCCAGGTTGCTGGTGCAATAATTCAAGCACCTCAGCTCGATGTAAACACAGTTGCTGCTGGTGGTGGATCAAAGTTAAAATTTCAGTTTGGTTCTTTCCGGGTGGGACCAGATTCAGTGGGTGCACATCCAGGACCAGTTTGTTACCGGAAAGGAGGGCAGCTAGCAGTTACAGATGCAAATCTTATTTTAGGTTATGTCATTCCTGAATTTTTCCCTTCCATTTTTGGTCCCAATGAAGACCAGCCATTAGATATTGATGCCACCAGGGAAGAGTTTGAAAAACTTGCAAGGCAAATCAATTCCTACAGAAAGAGCCAGGATTCATCTGCAAGGGACATGACAGTTGAGGAGATAGCACAAGGCTTTGTGAATGTTGCCAATGAGACCATGTGTCGTCCAATACGACAGTTGACAGAAATGAAGGGACATGAAACAAGCAACCATGCGCTTGCTTGCTTTGGAGGTGCAGGTCCTCAACATTCCTGTGCCATTGCTAGATCACTTGGAATGAAGGAGGTTCTTATTCACAGGTTATGTGGGATCTTAAGTGCATATGGTATGGGGTTAGCTGATGTGGTAGAAGAGGCACAAGAGCCATATTCAGCGGTTTATGGTCCTGATTCTGTGATTGAAGCCTGTCGCAGAGAAACTATCTTGCTGAAGCAGGTGAAGTCAAAGCTGCATGAGCAAGGGTTCGGAGAAGCAAGTATCACCAGTGAAACATACTTAAACTTAAGGTACGAGGGAACAGACACCGCAATCATGGTAAAGAGACCAATCAATGATGATGGATCAGGAGGTGATTATGCTGCTGAATTTGTCAAGTTGTTCCAACGGGAATATGGATTTAAACTTCAAAACAGGAGTATAGTTATATGTGATGTTAGGGTTCGCGGTGTTGGAGTCACTAACATATTGAAGCCTCGACCCCTAGATTCTGCCCCTGGTGCCCCTAAAATTGAAAGTCACTACAAGGTATACTTTGAGAGTGGATGGAATGACACTCCTTTGTTCAAGCTTGAAAATTTGGCATATGGGCATGTTATTCCTGGCCCAGCAATTATCATGAATGGAAATAGTACTGTCATTGTTGAACCTAACTGCAAGGCCATTGTTACTAAATATGGCAACATTAAAATAGAGATAGAGTCGACTTCCAGTACGGCGAAGGTAGATGAAAAAGTTGCAGATGTTGTACAGCTGTCAATTTTCAACAACCGGTTTATGGGAATAGCTGAACAGATGGGGCGCACCTTGCAGAGGACTTCTATATCAACAAATATTAAAGAGCGGCTAGACTTTTCTTGTGCACTTTTTGGCCCTGATGGTGGGCTTGTGGCAAATGCACCCCATGTTCCTGTTCATTTGGGGGCTATGTCGAGCACCGTTCGATGGCAACTGAAGTACTGGGGTGATAAACTAAATGAGGGAGATGTTTTAGTCACCAATCATCCTTCTGCTGGTGGTAGCCACTTGCCTGATATAACTGTTATTACACCTGTTTTTAACAAAGGTAGATTGATATTCTTTGTCGCAAGTAGAGGGCATCATGCAGAGATTGGAGGTATTACTCCTGGAAGTATGCCACCTTTCTCAAAGTTCATATGGGAGGAAGGAGCAGCAATAAAAACATTCAAGCTTGTTGAGAAGGGCATTTTTCAGGAAGAAGGAATCACCAAGCTTCTTTGTTACCCCAGTTCTGAAGAATCAACTCATAAGATTCCAGGATCCCGCAGGCTTCAGGATAATTTATCTGACCTTCACGCACAAGTAGCTGCAAATCAGAGAGGAATTACCCTTATTAATGAGCTTATTGAGCAATACGGTCTGGAAACTGTACAGGCATACATGAACCATGTGCAGGCTAATGCTGAAGAAGCAGTGAGAGAAATGCTTAAATCTGTTGCTGGGAGAGTTTCCTCCGAATCAAAAAGGTCTGGAGAGGGTGACTTAGTGACTATCGAAGAGGAAGATTACATGGATGACGGGTCTTCCATACACTTAAAGCTTACAATAGATTCTCGGAAGGGTGAAGCATTTTTTGATTTCTCCGGGACCAGCACAGAGGTTTATGGTAATTGGAACGCTCCAGAAGCAGTAACAGCTGCTGCAGTAATTTACTGTGTACGCTGCTTAGTGAATGTTGATATTCCTCTCAATCAAGGTTGCTTGGCTCCTGTAAAGATATATATACCTCCTGGTTCATTTCTCTCTCCGAGTGACAAGGCTGCTGTGGTGGGTGGTAATGTTCTTACATCACAAAGGGTCACCGATGTCGTCCTCACTGCATTCCAAGCTTGTGCTTGTTCACAGGGTTGCATGAATAATCTAACCTTTGGTGATGACACTTTTGGTTACTACGAAACAATTGGAGGCGGTAGTGGGGCTGGACCTACCTGGGATGGGACGAGTGCAGTCCAGTGCCATATGACCAACACTCGCATGACAGATCCAGAGATCTTTGAGCAAAGATACCCAGTTATATTGCATAAGTTTGGAATAAGAGAGAATAGTGGTGGTGCTGGACAACATAAAGGAGGCGATGGCATTATCAGGGAGATAGAATTCAAGCGGCCAGTCATCGTCAGTATCCTTTCAGAAAGACGTGTGCATGCCCCGAGGGGGCTTATGGGTGGAGCAAATGGAGCTCGCGGTGCTAATTTCCTCATCACCAAAGATAAAAGGAAGGTATATGTTGGTGGTAAAAACACAATTCAGGTACAGGCTGGGGAAATGCTTCAGATTCTTACCCCAGGAGGTGGTGGCTGGGGTTCAATATGAATAATCCCAACCAAAAACTTCTACCGCGAAACTCAACGATGCAGTTACATACTCTCCATGCCACAGACACATCCACAGAGGAGAAAAAGCACAGCACCAAATAAGTGAAATGAGGAAACTTTCTATTGCTAAGTTTTAAAGATGTGTGAATTTCAATAGTTTCATGACTTCATATTAGCTTTTTGGTCTATACATGTCTATGTTGTCATCTGCGGGGTTAAAGTGTGCCCTTCTTGTTTGTCTTTCGGAAACAACCTCTCTAATAAAAATGCTTTCCTTTTCTTGGACCTTGTGTGAACGCAGGATGTTTTCGAAAATGAATTAATAAGATGTGTTATTTTATGCTAGTTCTTTCACTCAGTAAGTTTGAACTCTTTTATTCTCCTTCTTCCTGCATTTGACAAGTGACCAGTCATATAATCAAAAGACCAATATTTTCCGTTAGTCTTCAATATTGGAAAAAAAGTTTGAAATATATTCGGATTTTGATCGAAATTATTGTTACGATTTCATACTTTGAAAAGAATCTTTTATCCATATACTATTTAATAGTGTATTTTAATAATATACGTGTTCACGTGGATATAAAAAAAATTAAATAATTATAAATAGTAATATGTCCATATAAGTACATATATATCTTTAAAATATACTATTAAATAGTTTAGGGATAAAAGATTTTCTATAAAATTTAATATCGTAACAACAATTTTAACCAAAATTAAAATATTTTTCAGACTCTTTTCTTCGAAATTCAAATGAATCTTCTGTTAATCTAATAACTAATAAAAAGGGTAAAATTACTTAATTGCACGAACATTCTTATAGTTTGAAATAATTAATAATATATCATTTCAGAAATTAATAATTTCTAATTAAATGCAAGGTCAACAACAAAACATATATCTCTTGATATTTTTTCGTTTAAAAAAGATTGACCGACCTAGTTTGACTTGAAACGAAATTTAAGAAAAGAAAGAAGATTTTTTAATTTTATGGTTCTAATTTAATGTTATGTCAAATGTATCAACATACCTTTTAATCTTGTGATCTTAAACATGCCACGTGAAAAGTTAAAGTTAAATTGTTGTCAAAAAAGGAAAGCGGTCATTGTTTTTGAAACAGACTAAAAAGAAAATAAGATCATTCTTTTTTAAACGGAGGGAGTACTATATACGTGGATATTTCATATTGAAATATAAATACATAACGAGAAAGACGAGTCAGAAAGACCGTATCTTTATAAATACATGTAAATTATATTCGAATACAACATATGAGTTCGGAATCAAAAAAACAAAAAAATTAAATTCGACAACAAAAATAAGTTTAAAACCAAAAAAGATGATAATTTTAAAAATTCCACTTTTGCCCTTTCGAATATTCGCATGTATCTAAAATAGCACCAAAAGGGGTTGTTGGGGATTTGAGTGACAAAGGAAGAGAGAGTGACATTCCCGCGCAAGAAGAAGAAGGAGAGTGGCAATGGCTTCTCCTTCAACTTGTCAAACTCAAAGGGTTGAAGAGAAGAAGGAACCCAAAAGCAGCAATTCATCGAAATCTTGTTTTCAGCCAACAGTGAGTGTGTCTTTTCGTAGCAATCCCTAAAAATTGATTCTAGTTTATTATCACTGAATTTTGAGTTTTTTGACCAAAAAAAAACAGGTCAGTTTGAAAGATTGGTGGCTTATTAGGGCTGAAAGAGATTCTCAAGGAAGAACCCTTGCCGTTGCTGGGCGCACTTCTCGAGAGTGAACTTTCTCTTCCTATTTTTTTTTTAATTGCTTTCAAAGTTTTGTTGCAACTTTGAAGCTCCCATTTGGCCATAGATTTTGTAGTTGAAGCATTGAGAATTTTAGTTTTTCAAGTTGTGGTTTTTTTTTCCTAGACCCCATTTGTGGGATTTTATTGGGTATGTTCTTGTTGTTGTAAAGTTGTGTTTTTGAATATTTTAAGTTGTGTTTGGATATACATTTTACTTGGAAAAATCTGATGTTTTTGGTATTTAAAAAGATTTGAAGAATTTGATGAAATTTTGCGGTTACATAGATATTTGAAGATAAATTTTCAAAATGTACTCCCGAAATGTACTGTCAAACGCTAGCTTATAGTTGTTTTTACGTATTTGGGGTTCTGTGATTTCGGATTTACTATGTTGTCATGCAAGTTTCTTGGTCACCTTGGACCTAGGTATTTTTAAATAGGCAAATTGGCAATCTTATTAAAGAAGTAAAAGGATGATGAGGCCAAGTAATTTATAAAAGTAGTACGTGGTTATATTTGGTTGGGAAAGCCGGAGTTTTTCAACTTAAGACCTCATTATAATTAAAGAAGCGAACAAAGACATAGCCTTTCTGTAGTTTTCTGTTATAGCTGACTCAGTAAGTGGCATTTTGCACTCAGATCCTTTTTTTAATCACTCTACTATATTCCTGTAGGGGTCAAGCTCTGCGAGGATTCACTTCTGCACCAATTCATAAGATATATGATGTTTTTAATCTAGAGACCATTGATGGGATATGTGTTGTCCTCAAAGGCTTCATAAATAGAAGTCGTTCAGAGGAAAATGGTTTTCCATCTGAGGTATGCATGCTGTTTGCCCATGAAATCTTTTTGTTGATTGCAAAATGAGAATTTAATATAATCCTCCTCTTTTTTTGCTACAAAATAGATTATTTTGTTTCGTGTTATCCAATGAATCGTATTGTTTGATTAGACTACCATCACAAAGATGGACGCTCTATCAAATTGCAGTAAGGATCTGTGGTTTCTCTTGACTTTAAAAGGAAAAGGAATAAAATAATAGCAGAAAGAACATACTTGTTTAGGTTCTTATGCTGGTACTGCACAATGATAATAGAATATAGAAGTAATTACTGATAGGTTAGGAAGTATAGAAGAAGATAGAGAGAAAGACAAGCTATTGCCTAGAGCAACTTCAGTAGACGTACTCCATCAAAAGCTAAGTCTTTTGAGTAGCTAATTCAGTATACGTACTCTACTGTTGTAGCATATTTACAAGGCTTCTCGATGCTAACCTCCTCTACTATACTACATTTTATAAAACTATGATTCATCAGAAGGCCTTTATTGATAGGTAGAAAATAAAAAATTGGAAGGGAGAGGTGTGTCCTTCCGAAAATATTTTTTCCCGTACTTGGCGTGTCTTCTGTTTTTTTTCTTTGAGTTGACAGAGAACACTTCCATCAGACTTGGTTAGAAAAGTAGCAAAGCTTAAATAGGTAGTTCATTATAGTAGAATAGTTTTTAGTTTGTTGTAAAGGTTAGATCAACTATTTTAGGGTGTCAATGAGTTTGATTTATCAGGAATGAAATAGCATTATCTGGACAAAAAATTGTTTTCTGTACAGAAATTCCCAAAAATTGTGAATGATGGATGAATTATCATCATCATTCATAGTCTCTCAAATGATTCTAGGAGTCCCGATTATTTGTAGTTTATTAGCATTAAATACAGATGTATATCTTGTTTTTTTTTGGTATAACATGGCTATTGCAAATGATATAGGTGCTATAATTGTCTGTCTGAGCTTATTACACAATACGTAATGTAGCCTCTTGTTGTAAATACGTCCCAGCATTTACTTATTGCTGAAATTGATATACTAACTTCAACAACAATAATAATAAAAAGGTTCTAGGAGTCCCAACACAGACAATGTATCAATATAAGAAAGTGCTAGTAGTTTATTTTTCCTTATCATCTCTCCTGGAAAAAATCTGGAAAAAAAGTACTTCTAAGGACTTGGTGCAGTTTTTTACACTTGAATTCAGGGATTTCTTTGTTTGATGAAGTTTTAGCAATCATCATATGCTGACCAAAGGCATCCAGACAATTATGTTACCGTCACAAAGAAAAGAAAAAAGAGATTTTCGATAATTATAATTGGCGATTGGCGGTCCTTTGAATTCTTGTCAGTGGTTCTGTCTTCACAGGTGATTGAACAGTTTCTTTTTGGTTTTCCTCCTCAATGGGAGACGTTCAATGAGAAATTCTTAGGAAGAGATTCTAAAGGTAAGGCTTCTGCAAGCTATGCCCTTGGTTTTGAAAAACCATCCGGGTGCTCAGAAAGTAAGTTCACTCTATGAACCTATTTGTACGTCTGAAAGTTTTTGTTGTGGTCTGCTAATACTTTCTCTGCAACCTGCAGAGGTTAAAGATCTAAAGAACTTAGATCAAAATGATTATGTAGAGACTACCGGTGAAACAATTCAGGATCATAATGGGAGAAAAGATT